AGACAGTACAGTGGCAGTATCGACCGACGCGCAGTGGAGGTTGCTGCGATGACGTACTGTCTGAGTGCATACTTTGAGGTATACTCGTAATAACCTTATTATTATACATTTTTTCCTTCCAAGAATACATCATGGGAATGCCTTTATCCAAAAAGTTTAGAACAGAATCAGCGAACTTGTGTGGGGTCCGGTCAAACCCTGGTGGCAGCCTTGTTTATTTTTTATTATTAGAGGATGATTATGCGCATAATCATTCCATATTTGGAATTCACATTTCCTTATATGGTAGAATGAAAATACCCCGTAAAATATCATAAAATTACGACATGCTGTAACTTATGGCGTTATGGTGACAGATGTATAATAATTACAAGTATCGATAGCATTTGACAACATGTTCTATTCAAAATGTAGTTGTTCTTATTTATTCATCATTCAGCATAGTGCACAACAATGTAATTTGAAAACCTTCCATTAATATTCAATCGGCCAATAGAAACCTCTCATTTTGAATTATTAGTTTGAATTATAAATAGTTATAAATATGAAAGGAATACCTTTGTTGTGTTACTGTGTTGTAATCCCAGGTTGTAATTTACTATGTAAAATTAACACATGCTAGATATTATAACCATTGTATTTTTTTTTTTTTTAAGTTCTGTAAATATGGTTATTCTGGTGAAATAAATAAAAAAATAAAATATATAACAACCATCGTGCTTAATACATATCATTCGACAGCCGCAGATAGTTGAAACGTGGATTTGCTATATATATAGTAGGTCCATTGTTAAAGATGGAGAGTAAACCAGATTAGTCAAATTGCATTTACTGTACATACATGTATTCTCCAATCTACCTAACGCAAATTAACGAGCGATGTGACGTGGCCCTTGACCTACAAACCCTTGGGTCCATTTTATAACCAGGCGAACATTTGTATGTTGGGTAGTAAACACTTTACTGAACGTGGCGCAGTGGACAGCAGAACTGCGTCCCAGGATGTAACTTGAAAGATATGTTTATGGGTCTGGTAACTGTAGAAAATAACATAACAAATCGCAATATTTCTTACATTGAGCACGCTCTGGAAAGGTTGGTGACCAGCACAGATGGCTTCCACTCAGTGTTAGGCGATTTGATTTGCCATTCAGAGTCACAACAGTCGATAAAATAATGCCTTCAGTCTGTGACGCCATGATTATGGGTGAAGATAGACATAGCGATCACAGAAACGGTGTACTTCGATCTGTGTTTTCCTAATCAGGTGGGTGAAGCCCTCTAACTTCGAATAATAATGAACTCACTACAAAATAGTACTTGACAGTCACTGTAAGCCAGTGTTGTAATTGCAATTTTACCAATTTCATCATAAAATTATTCAAGGCTAAACTCAAAAGTATTCACTGTTGTTTAATTAATTTAACGTATTTAATTTCTGTGTTTGTTTTCATAGCAGTTGCTTTTTTAACAGACCTACGTGGCATTTTGCCTCGTTGTGACACATGTTGACGTAAATCCAACATGGCGTACAGTTAGGAAATATATGTGAATTGGAAGTGAAATCAATGATATTTGGCAATAACTTCATACTTTTTTCTGTCCACCTTATACTGGACAGTAACGCGTGAACTATTATTTGCAGCAATGTCTGCGCCAGGGCTAAATAACGACTCGAAGAAAAATAAAAGAACATTTTGGAAACGCAACACTGAGAAAGTTCCCGGAAGGTAAGTGCTGATGAACTTGTCCATGATCAGTTTCTGTATTTTAGTTGAATTTACCTTTACACTTATAGTAATAATTTTTCTTGTGACACACTTAAATTAATGTTACGGAAGTAAGTTGTGTAAACGACGCCAGGAATTGGTCAACATGTTCTAAAACGCTTTACACGTAGTAATGGGTCACTTTCGCTAGATTTATTGTTTTATTTTAAAAGGGTACCTCTCTATCCCAGGGATTGCATTATGGGTAATTTAAATTCCAAAACTCCGCCTGCGTCTACTACTAGTTTTTATTGGTGCTTATCTTTCCAACTGTTTCAATCACTTGAAACAAACTAATTGCAAACTGTGCTCACTTTGATCTAACTTGTGCGTCAAATAACACGGGCCTGTAATAGTTCTGAGCAGTAAAGCATCTCCCAAAACTGAATACCAAGTATCAGATTTATTGAAAGCACATGCACTTATATAAATAGCAGGTATGTCTATGGTCAAAATAAGTTGCATTTTTAAGTGATAAGGGGCAATAGCTGTAACTTTCTCCAACATCTCCTGTGTCATTAGTGTCAGTTTGTAATGACCATAACTAAAATGTGAACATATGAAAGCGTGGCATATATGGTATTTACGAACATTGTACATTAATACACTTGCAAATGAAAAAAGATGGCCACAGGCTTGCGTCCATGTCTCCAGAGGGCGCCATCTGCTGAAATCTAATTTTGTCAAGTGAGCTTGAAG